CAATGGAACATGTTTATTTAAAATTGATCTTCTCGTTTGACTTTGCATCGGACGATTCACATATGACGTCTTTACATTGAGCTACTCGGTTGTATTTTATCTACATTCCGATTTGGATTATTGACAAGACTATCTGATTGGTGTTAATTGTTGCACACAGACACACACAAACACACGAACCTGCTTCAGAACGTTGCCCTGTAACGCGACAACTTCAACGAGGAGTTTCTTTTTCTTCGCTTCCAGTTCTTTTTCCAATCCTTGCATTTTCAAATTTGTACAAGCTGTCTTTCTTTCGGCACGCTGTATTTTGGCAAATTTGACCATATCTCTGGTGGCCTGTAAAGTGTGCTCAATTTTGCGATTCTTTTGGACCAGTTCGTCCCGTTCCCGTGTTTCACGCTTCAAACGGTCGTGCAGCTGGACACGTTCACTCGTCAAATGATTCATATTTACTTCCATCTCGGTTCTGAACGTAGGACAAAAACAAACAGCATAATGAATCATCATAACACACCGTTTTAATTGCTGAATACGGTATTGCTGAGTACCTTTCCGTCAATGTGAAAATTATTGGTATAGAACCATCGTCCTTCAGTTCTCGTCTTCCTCAACAAACCTCTGTTCTTATGGTCAAATATGCTATCGGGAAGCATTAGACTTGAGTTCACCCCCTCGTCAGAGGTAATCAGCCGCTCATATCTGTCATTCATCATCTAGACTCCAGACCGCTCGCATGGATGACACCCTATTATCCATGTGTCAACTGAGAGTTGTGCTCAGGGGATAAAGGTTAAAACTTGTCACCCCGAGGGCGTGTGTTCGAATCCCACCTTCAACGTCCAACACGTCCCCAGACAGAACCCCAATAGTTAAAGCCCAGCTCCTGCTGAAAGTTGTACATTTGTGTATTCAATGAAAAGAATTACACAGATTTAAATAATTACACATCTAAATTGGAGAAAACCAAAATCGCCACTTTAGTCGAAATCAAGTCTGCCGGAAGACTACATGGAGTGGGCAATACTTACAATTTGCCAGTTTCGCTCCTGTGGCTCACAAAAGAGGTCTGGTGAAGACCCTGTTCCATCGCACCAGGAATATATACTCCCCTGACACTGTCCAAGAAGAAGAGGCCTCTCTACGAAGGACGCTACTGGATAATGGCTATCCAGGAAAATTTATTGATGTGCATAGCAGACGAAAGAAATCGGGTGATCTCGCCTGCGAAGTACCGAAGAAGAGCATCTTTCTCAGACTCGCCTTTAAAGGTGATCATATAATGAACGACGTGCGTCAAAAGCTCAAGGTGGCACTGTCGAACGTTTCCTGCCGCACAGCTTCGATTGATACCGTATATACAAGGACTTCGTTTAGACAATCGAAAACAGAACCAGCCGAACAATTCTGCTTCACATACCGTCTATCAGTTCACCTGCAGTTGCGGTGACACTTACATCGGCAGAACGAATCAGCCCCTGGCTCAATGAATGTCTGAACACATTCCCAAATGGTTGGTATAATCGATGACGCAACAAAGTCTTAGAGATCAAACCGATAAGAGAAATCCAGGGTCATCAATCGCAAAACATCTTATGGCAACTGGACACATCGTTGACTCACAAATGTCGTTCAAGCCATTATTACGTAACTTGAACCCCAGGATTTTGGCGTTTAGCGAGGCGATGCTAATCAAGTTACGTAACCCAATATTATGTGCACAAAAGTTTCTTACTCAATCACTCAAACTGCCATGGACCTGATTTCCCACCCCACCCTCTCCCCCGCTTCCCTGACTATTGTCCGTTTTACAACTGTAATTATCAAAACTTGCTTGTATAAATACTAGATAGTTTTACGTTGTAGCGACTGAAGAGATTAAAAGAAATGTTAACATCTCGCAGTATTTGTCTTCTATTGGTTTTAATGAAAAAAAATCAATAATATTTATCCCAGACTATTTAAAACTAAATGAATAGAGCAATAATATATCAATACATCAATCAATTTAGTATTATCTAGTACATGAGTGTGGTTTAGTAGATTTTTTCAGGTACTGTAGATAAAATACCAGTATCATTGTACAACTAAGGTGATTGCGCAGTGAGATCAGACAACACTATGCATCCACCGAGATACAGCTTCAAGGCAGCCAATCAGGACACGGAGAGTCTAACCAATCTGATGATTTAGTTGGGGGAAATTTGGGAAACAGATATGTGGACCTAGCCAACAGCGAACGTAAAAAATAAACAATCCAATATCTGATTAAGATTCGCGATATTTATTTACTTGCACTTCTGAATAGATTTAACTGTCTCTACATCTTGTCTTTGTTCTACCTCACTTCGCGCTAGTCAGTGGGTTTTCGGTACAAATGTAATATTGAATACTAGTCCAATCATCATTACGTCTTATATATATATATATGTATATATATATATATATATATCGGTATTGATCTACCTCTTGAGGCCTGACCTTCAATTTACAGATATGTATTTCAGTTTCCAATATGCTACTTGTATGTTGATAGCATTGGGTGCAGAACACTTATTCCGAACATCGTCTAGCATTACAGTTTTATGAATTCACTTGCATTATTGTTTGAATTGGTATGATATGACGAATGTAGTCGAAAACTGTCCTAGTGAGTCCTAGTGAGACACAGATAAGTTAGTTAGTTCGAGAGAGGTTGCAAGAGGCCCGGGTGTGTGTGGCATATTTCGGAGGAGACTGACAAGTGTGATTTGATTGTGATCGATTGACCCAAGCGCTCATAAACAAAGAAGGGCATTGGAAAAATGAAAATCATACCTATGAGTCAATCTTCTCAATAAATTATTGTGACATTTTCTACGAATTTTTCGTCTTCTTACAACTGACACACAATCAATCGTTGTCGAAACCGAAAAATCATACTTTTATGAGGCATTTAACTAATAAAAGCATCAACACAAGCGGATACCAATAGGGATAGGTTGTGTCTGCTTTGAGGCAATACCATAATAATGCTCGACCAATGTTGTTAAAGAGTTAACATATATGGGTTCAAGTTACTTTACCATTTAGAAGATAAAAATTAGCTGAACTCATAGAAAAAAGACATATGTCGTTCAAAAAAATATAAAGATAACAATGTAAATAAAACAAATCTTCTGAACAGTTTCCCGGTGACCGAGTGGATAGCATGCTTGCCTTCTACCTGTGAGGTTATGGACTTGATTCTCAGTTGGGTTGGACGGATTTGCACTGCTGATGAGACCCAACCTAACATAAACAGCCGTTCAATACTACCCAGATTTTCGGTTTATACTGGGTCACATAGGTCCCGTTAGGCACCCCTGGATGGGGATCCCGAGATCATGCTAACCGGTAGTAGGAGACTGACGTAATATGGCTGGATGTCACAATCAGTGGCGCACTTACATCTACTCATTATTCTTGGAGTCCCGGTCTGTATGAATTATCTATCGTCTCTTTAACTCTGCTCTCAGCATTCCAATCTTTATTGTGCTCTTTTATCTTTTATGGGCAGCTAAAAGACAGAAACCAAAACCGGGGCCTGAAAAAGCATAGTTAATTGTGAAAACTGAGGCTGAAAGTACGATTGATCTGAACACGACGAAGTTCATAGAATAAAATATTAATTATTATTATCATAACAGGCATTCCTGCTGTCACTAATGATGAATGATCAGAACAAAGTTGTCATCACATTATTATTATTATCCCTTACCTTGCTAGTGACAACTCCGCCGCTTGCTGTTGCTTCAATTCCAGTTGTGAATTAACGGCATCGTACTGCGTCTGAGTATCATAGATCTTCCTGTATTTCTTGGCCGATTGACTGTCAGGAAGAGACAAGAAAAGTCCATACATGGATCGTGTGTTCGACTAGTTCTAATTCTAACCGATATGTGGAGCATTTAGTCACACTCACCCCTCCAGTTTTGCACTTTCCATGTCCAGTTTAATGCGTAAACTGTCCAAATTGTTGAATTCTTCTCGTAATATATTGTATTCTTCAGCGGATTCCGTTCGAAGTTTTACCGCTTCACTGGGAAGGAATCAAATATGATTTTCAGACAAACGCAACCCGCGGTGAAAATTTCGAAACATGTGAAGTTGTGAGACGAACACGTTTGTGATGATTTACTGGAAATAATAATAATAATAATAATCAGGTATCAGTTTGGGAGTAGTCTATGTGGTATGCGATGGTAAGTTATTCAGTTAAGCCTGTCCAAGTTGGCTCAGTTAAAGTATCCACAATAATCCGTGATGACGTTCTGAGGGAGGAGAAAATAACTGGCAAAATAATTATGGTGATTCGAATTGACTATTCTACTACAAGTAACTTCGCGTGAAATGCGAACTATCAACCCAGCCTAGTAAGTTTGTAACAGGCCAACCCGTATTTCAACCTGTATTTTTACCCACTTGCCCCATGTTACTGTTATTGTTGTTACTATTATTATTGTGGCGCTGGCACTATGCTTGTTTACAAGCCGGTGTAATATATATATCTATCTATATATTACACCGGCTTATATATATATATATATATATATATATATATCGAGAGAGAGTCAACCCATAACCTGCATAGAAGACCTGGTTTGGTTGGAGGCTTTTGATTACAAATTGCTTCTCTCGAAGCAAAGATAGGGATCCTCGGTCCCCAGATCACTCCCGAAAGCCCAAACCCAAGGT